AAATACATTTTAAAAAATAAATAATAAAACAACAAAAGAAAAATACTTCGTTCTTTTCCACCTTGACATCCGGCCAAGCCTTTTCAATTTAAATCGTAGATCTATTGTTCACATACGCCAAACAAAAATACGACTTACCATGGAAAAACATGTTTCATTTTTCTTTTTACTTGTCCTGAGGCCATTCCCAAAGTGAGGATATTAACATGTTCTTGTGCACAGTAGAATTACATTTTTGTATTATAAATGGGCTGACTTATCAATGTCATGCTCATACTGTGGCGGAACAACATAGGGGGAACATCTGTTTGTTATTTTTCCTCATCCTTACTATAGTCATTTTTCCTCTACTTTCTTTGCATGTTTGTCACTCTCTTGTGTACAGCTATTTCTTCCGGGATGCCTTGACTTTCGAAGCAGACTTTGTGCTGTTGAGGCTAGAAAGGTGAGCAGAGTAAGCCTGATTCTTCGTTTAAACTTCTCTGTCAACATCCACCCCTTGGCGCTCATAATATGACCTTATGCAGTTGCGAGCGCCGTAAAAACTTTACAAAAACTAAACTAAAACATTTTGTCACAAACAGAGAAAGACGCTTGATCACGTGACAGGGAGACAGTACCATGGGCATCTTCGTGAGATTTAGTTTTACCTGAGTTTTACGGCACTCGCAACACAATAAAGTTATAAAAATGCCGAAGATTAGAGGTGTTGTAAGAGAGTATCAAACACAAAGGAAAGGGAGATCGGGGCGATAGATTTTTTAAAATTATTATTTATTTTTTTTATTATTAATTATCATTATCATTATTAATATTACTATAAAGGGGCTAGATGGTTGGTTTAGTTAATATTATTTTAATGATCGTTCAATGAGGGCATTGTTCTCTGTTATTACTAATATCCCATTCCGTTTCTAATCCAAAAAAGACAACTGAAAGAAATTGAGGACAAAATTCTGGAGGTTCTTTCCACATCGGAAGGTAACATCTTGGAGGATGAGACAGCCATCAAGGTACTCTCCTCTTCGAAAACACTCTCCAATGAAATCTCAGAGAAACAGGTGAGACAGGGAGAGATTAAGCTATAGTAGACTTTAATTTGTGTCTCTATTTATCTAAGTGGTTGTGACATGACTTTGCTTGGGTTCTTTAAAAAAAGAGAGCTGAAATTTGGCGTGTTAGAGAGTTCGTGTTTGGTTCTGTGTGGGAGTGGGTGTGTATGTGTGTAAGCCTGTGTGTGTGTGTGTGTGTGTGTGTGTGTGTGTGTGTGTGTGTGTGCATGTGTGATTAAGTGTATGTGTGTGCATGTTTACGCTTTTTGTGTGAATATTTGCGATTATGTATAAGCGTATGTTGTATATTTACGGGCATGTGATCGGCGTGAGGGTTGCTGTCTATGTATAGCATCCAAAAGCAACGTCTCGAAGACTTGGAAAAATGAGCTCTCATAGACTGCCCTTGCCATCCTAGAGAATGAAGACAATCCCAATTGGGAAATTCTGCTGCTTAAAACATAAACTTTACGTCTAAAAGAATGTTGGAAAGTGCTTTTGTTTAAGTTAGTGCACAAACTCATTAGAAATAAAACGAGAACAAAATAAAGCAGTGGGTGGTTGATGGGTGTTCGGGTGTGATTTGCCCTTTCTCTCCCATCAAGTATCTTATATCCTGGTCTCGCCAGCTTTTTTGCGTTTGTTGCTTTCTTGTAATACCTCTGATCTTTGGCACTTATGTGTTGCAAGTGCCATAAAACTCAAATTAAAACTTTAGAAAATATAAACTGTGTGTCTAAAAATTGAAGCTACGAACAAGCTTATTAGAAATAAGACAAGACCAATCAAATTAAAACTAAAACGCCAAAAAATTGTAAAATCTGCATCCTTATCCCCCAGGAAATCGCCGAAGAGACGGAAGTGAAGATCGACGAAGCCCGCATGGGGTACACGCCCATCGCCATCCACAGCACCATCCTCTTCTTCTCCATAGCCGACCTGGCCAACATAGAGCCCATGTACCAATACTCTCTCACCTGGTTCATCAACCTCTTCAACATGTCCATCGAGAACGCCGAGAAGTCGGATCAGCTGGCAGAGAGGCTGAAAAATCTGCACGAACATTTCACGTACCTGCTCTACAGCAATGTGTGCCGTTCGCTCTTTGAGAAAGACAAAGTGAGTGAATTTATTTATGCGCTTTCCGCGCCAGCCTAGGGCTATCATGGAATAAACGTTATCTTTAAAAAGTTTCAATGCTGCTGAGCTGTGATGTAGGTCATGGGTAAACAAAATGTGTGTGAGAAGCTGGAAGCGCTGTGGACACTCCTATTTTCCGCTATACAGGGTTTTGTAGTGTTTAATAAATTAATGTTTTTTAATCTAGCCCCAATTGTTCTGAAATAGTATGATTAAGTTGAGTCAAGTTGATGCAAACTACTATGTAAAGTATGAGTGACATTGATTCGGCAGTAACGGAGATATATGAGGACAAGTTGCGCCATGACATTTTGACCGCAGTACAGTGAGTAGCCGTTTCAGTAGCTTTTTAGAAGTGTGAAAAATTCTGGAGATTTTTGGCCTTAACAGAACTGGACATCCATACCCCAATCCAACCTCTTTGTAAAAGCCCGTTGTATCGAGAGTCTAGCAGTTGCCCAATGTTCTTGTCAGAACCATCTGCTTTTCTGCCTATTTGTTATCGTTTTTCACAGCGCTAAAATAAATAATAACCATTGCTTCGAATTGATTTTTGTCCAATCCTATACAAGAAGACACCCCTGACATTTCGAGGAATTTGTTGACACGGCAATGTAGGTAAAACAGAGCGTATTTTTATCAACCCTCACCAAGCAGTCGTTTGTTGTCGTCTGGTGAGCTGGTGTTACAGTTTGCTTGTTCGTTTTGTTTGTTTGGTTTTGGGGGGGTTTTTGTTGCTTTTTTAACCAATACAATTTTTCCGTATACATGCTCCTTGCTCAAAGAGACTGTTGTCAAGCCGACTAAAAATGTTGGGATTGGAGAGCATGGTAGGTCCTATTTCTTTTCGACTCACTGTTTTATGTAGGTCTATCTTGGTTGTCTGATTCAATGGCTATTATCGTCTTTCTATACTGACTTACTTATCCTCTAGTCTCAGATGACCGCTGGGGCACCAGGGTGATCGGTTCGGGCTCCACTTTTCTCCATCTTTCTCTATGTTCAGCCTTTCAAAGAGCTTCGCCCAACTTTAAACCCGTCCTATTTACAAACGTAAACCAAGCAATAATCTAATGTCACACCTCCCCCTCCCCTCCCCCCTCCCCTTCCCCCTCCCCCTCCCCCCCCCCCCCAACCACACCTATTTCCCGGTCCCGCTGCCACCCCACAGCTCCTATTCTCCTTCCTGCTGTGCGTGAATATCTTGAAACACCAGAACGAAATCGACGAAGACGAGTGGCGGTTTTTCCTCACAGGCGGAGTCGGGCTGGACAACCCCTTGCAAAAACCCGCCGATTGGCTTCCCGACAAGTCCTGGGACGAGCTGTGCCGTCTCAACGAACTGCCGCAGTTCAAGGGAATCTCGGTCACCTTCTCGGAGGAGACCGCAGAATGGAAGGTCGTGTACGACAGCATGGTGAGTTCTTGGTGTCTTCTCTTGTACTCCATAAACATACACATAAGAAAATTACCTTTTTATTGATTCCCGTGGGGAAATTCGGGTTACAATGGTAAACCCACATCAACACTTAGTTATAAATACATGCATACGTAAATACATGTACATACACAAATACATTCATACATTAATTACATACATAAATACAAACATACACAGCATTGCACCAATGTAGAACAGTTTTAAAAACATGTAATTGCTGGGCTTGTCTCCATTGTGAAGCGATATAACTTCAAGATGACTGATTGTACTTTATTTGATCTTTGCCGTTAAATTGTTGTTACGTGTAAGTTACTACACTGTCAGGGCATGGGGGGGGGGGGGGCGTTAGCTCATTTGGTATTGTGCTGGATTACGGAGTTATAGGCTTTGGTTCGTATCCCCATACAGGCGTCCTCAACTTTGTGTGTGTTGCGTGAAATTCTAAGGCTCTCCACCCATTTGTCTGTCTGTCTGTCTGTCTGTCTGTCTGTCTGTCTGTCTGTCTGTCTGTCTGTCTGTCTGTCTGTCTGTCTGTCTGTCTGTCTGTCTGTCTGTCTGTCTGTCTGTCTGTCTGTTTGTTTGTTTGTCTGTCTGTTTGTCTGTCTGTCGTGCATTTTTTTATTTCTCAACTTTTTTAAAATCTCTTTTTTCCTTTCACTCGCGGTTATATTATTCTTTCGGTTTCTCCACTGAAGGAATTACAATCATTATTTATTTATTTATTTATTTATTAGCGGTGCACTCAAAATGCAAGTCTGTCTAACACTCAGACTTCAACAACTTTATGATTCTCTGTCTCGTTGTTGGTTGGCGTTCTGGCGCTTTATGCCACCTCTACTATTTTGTTGTTGTTGTTGTTGTTGTTGTTGTTGTTGTTGTTGTTGTTGTTGTTGTTGTTTTCGTGTTACTGCTATGCTAATAACAAATATGTTTCTGGTCAAAATGGTTGCTGTCATCGTTTTCACCCGCCATAAACTACAACTGAGTCTGTGTCTCCAGATTCCGCACAAAGAGAAACTGGCGGGTGAATGGCAAGACAAACTGAACCTCTTTCAGAAGATGCTCACACTTCGGGTGTTCAGACCTGATAAGGTAAAAACTTGACTTTCGACTCTCTCTCTCTCTCTCTCTCTCTCTCTCTCTCTCTCTCTCTCTCTCTCTCTCTCTCCCCCCCCCTCTCTCTCTCTCGCTCGCTCTCTCTCCCTCTCTCTCGCTCGCTCGTTCTCGCCCTCGCTCTCACTTTTTCTCTCTCTCGCTCTCTCTCTCTCTCTCTCTCTCTCTCTCTCTCTCTCTCTCTCTCTCGCTCTCGCTCTCGCTCTCCTCTCTGTCAATCTGTGAGTGTGTATGTTTGTGTGTGTGTGTGTGTGTGTGTGTGTGTGCGTTTATGTGTGTTTGTGTGTGTATGTGTGTATGTGTCTGTTTTTTAGACAGAAGAAGAGAAAACAGTCTTGTCTCCATGTTGGTCACGACGTTTTAATTTATTTTTAAAACAAAAGGCCGAAAAATGTGTGTGATATTGTGTATTATGTATGTATTTGTGCATGTATTTATGTATGTACGTATTTATAATTATGTATGTAAGTATGTGTATGTATGTTTGCCATTGTAAACCAAAATGCCCTTCTGGGACAAATAAGAGTGTCATTAATTAATTATTTTTTAGCTTTACTCCCCACTCGCGAGTGGAACTTAGGCATCCTGCGTACTACAGCAAAGGGCCGAATCGCTACTCCATAGTCACCTGTTTATTATCAGAGCTTAGTTAAATACAACCGCTATGATACTATCTCACATAGAAAAAACTGCACATAAACAACTAGAAAATTTGTCTTTCCACAAAACATAGGCAGGAGTAGCAGATTTTGGGTGGAATGGGAATAACAGGGAACAAGCATGTTTTACTTTGAACGTGGCTGACGGGTCTTCCATGGGGACTCTTTATTTCACAAAATATCTTATGTTTCTTGATTTATTCTCCTATATTTGTTTGATATCCGGGAAATAAGTAATCGAATTTTATGCATTCATGGATGAAAATCTAACCAGGTGCTTCCCGCTGTCCAAGACTTCGTGACGGAAAAGATCGGCAAAAAGTTCATCGAGCCGCCGCCCTTTGACCTGCCCAAGTCGTACGCCGACAGTAACTGCACCACGCCCCTACTCTTCGTGCTCTCCCCGGGCTCCGACCCCATGGCGGCTCTGCTCAAGTTTGCAGACGACAATGTGGGTTTGGCAGAAAGACACGTGGCTGTCAAAATGTCTACAGTTTTTCTGTTTTTTTCGGTCAGGTTCTGATACTTACTTAGGGGGCAGGAAAAACCGCAGTTTGTCTCCTTCAACTGTGAGGCAAGAAGTCTTGGAGCATTTCAAAGAATGTATCTTTTTACCTTTTTCTTGAAACCTTTTTCTACATTATACATGTCCTGTCTTTTTCCGAGACCATTCGGCTGTTGCAACTAGGAATGTGAATTGTTATTCTGTCCGTAGTGTGAGCCATAGTTCGAATTTTCTGTCTCTCTATTTTTACTTAAGTGCAGCTTATCTTAGTTCCAAGTGATAGGTTTATTACGTCCTTTTAAATGAATATGGAGGAAAAGCATTCAAAAGCTTTCTAAAAGGCTAGAAGCACAAATGGATTCAAAGCCTAATAGACAGAGCGGTAAACAAATATCTCACAAACAAAACTATCTGATTACCGAACAACTTACGTTTGCCACTGGAATGTAAAGCTATTTTTAACCAGTATCGCTAGAAGAACGTGAAGAAGCAAATATGTTTACGATGTTACATTAGGAACAGTCTTAACCTAATATCGTAATCACGAGTCTCTGTTAAACAGCTGGGTGTCGTCGGTGGTCTAGTGGTCAGGCTACTGGACCCGTACTTGTGAGATTGTTGGTACGTGGGTTCGAGCCTCGGCTTGACTCGGCTCTGTTGTGTCCTTTGGAAAGGCACTTTACACGGATTTCTCATTTGGATCTGTCGTTTTGGAGACAAACGGTTAACTTGAAGGTCCCGCGTCTTATATAACCTAATAGTGTTGATAGGGGCGTTAAGCCTATACTATTTATACATTTTTTCACAGTTTTACGGCATAAAATGAGACCAAAATTCCTTATGTTTGTTTGAGCCCTCAGTTCAGAACTTACTTGAACCACTGCCCGCATCAAGAGTCTCCCCTCTCTGAGTCGCCGTGACGTCATACAATAAAGACATTTTCATTTATTATAAGACCTTTAATTTATTCTAAGAACAAGCACTTACAACAGTCATGAGCTTATTCAATAGTGCCATTCGACAAATAGTCATCAGCGCTTCACATCACACTAGCACATGAGACAATCATGCACGTTCACGACCCTCTTACAGAAAGGTTTAAGTATACTGCTTTCTTTCGCAGAGCATGGGAGGAGACAAGTTTGACTCCCTGTCCCTGGGCCAAGGTCAAGGTCCTATTGCCATGCGAATGGTGGACAAAGCGGTGAAAGACGGGCTGTGGGTTGTTCTACAGAACTGCCATCTCGCCGCGTCCTGGATGCCAACTTTGGAGAAAATCTGTGCTGTGAGTGTACCACACTGGGTGAACTTAAATTTCGATTCGAACATTGTTAAGATAACGTCATCCTAGAATTACAAAGTTGCATCTTCTAAGCATCTAGTTTTGAGAAATTGGACGTCAAAAAGTTTGAGTTTCAAAACGTGTCCAGTTATTCAAATGCATTTCTTTGAAAATCTTTTTATAAAGACTCCGAATAATCTTTCGGTTTTGATTGAGCAGATAGAACATTTGTTTTCTGACCTCATGGTCCTAGTAACTCAAAATCTTCAGATAGAACTTTGTAATTCTAAGACAGCGATAAGTCAAACATGTGTTTCGAGCCTGACACCACAGCGACCCGACCGCGGCCCTACGGAGGGTTTAGACTCCTGCTTGGTGTGAGTAGCTGATGAAGTTTTCTTTTACTCCACTCTGTGGGGGTTGAAAATAACGTATGTGAGGCAGCGTGGTGGAATCAG